ACACACACACATATATATATATATATATATATATATATATATATATACACACACACACACACTACTGTCTCTCAAGTTATGTCTAGAAAGGAGGGGCTTGATTTTTGACAGGCGCCTCAGCTGAAAGAAAGAGGACTTAACCACGTTGTTGACATGGCAGTGAAGTTTCAGGCAGGGGTCCATTTTCACTCCTAAATTTGTAATAATAGATTTTTCATATGGGGCCAAAGAGGAAAAAAAATCAAAGATGGGGAAACTGCTGGGACCACAGGATTTAAAGACCATAACCGCAGTCTTTTTTCATTAAAATGGAGGAAATTAAGTGCCATCCATCCTCTGATGTCAAATGAACAAAACATAAGATTGACCAGTCTTTTCTAAACTTTAAATTTGTTGACACAGGATCGACTGAAACAGGGTCGGTGTTTCAGTCGTGCTCGTCAGGTTTGTATGGTCCAGATGTCTGTCAGATGTCTGTTAATGAAACCTTAAAACTTTTTTTTTTTTTTTAAGTGCTTCATGAAGCTCCACATGCCCGTCATTACCATCAATATATGCATTATATGCTTGACATACATTTTAACTATACGTGGTTTTAATGTGCAACAAATTGTCAAATTATTTGAATATGGAACTGGACAACCAATAATAGCTTTTTTTTTTTTAAAGTTGCATTAACTACCCAAATATATCTAGCAATTTCACATATAACCACAGACTTTCATTGGTTTAAATTAGTATTTATTGTTTTATGTTCATAGGACCCCCTCTGAGACTTAAAAACACTGGGTGGGTTGGCACCACCTTTATAAAACAAGCGAAATGTGGCATTTGAGCATCTCTTTACTGAAATCTGCAGCAAGTTTTTATTTGATCTATTTTTTTCCTAAAAGAAATAGTTCATGATTATTAGTGTAGCAGAAATAAAAAAAAAGGACTCTGAATGGTAAAGCACCGACACATATCAACATTTGCTGCTATTCTGTGAAGAAACTACACCCAACAACACAGTTCCACATGAGACCTGTTGCTTATGAAAGCTGCAGATAAATATAAAGGCATATACTGCGAGTCAGTCTCAGTCCCTCCTGATGTTACACAGTAATGGATGCTAACAATATTAACAGGTGTCTGAAGGCTCGTGGGTGGCAGGAAGTGCAGTGTTGATAGATCAGATCTTCCCGGGGTCTTCTTTGAGTGTGACTGTTCTGTTAAAGATGAGCTGCAGAAACAGATTACAGCTGTAAGCTGGTGATTGGATCAGATTAAATGTCTTTTTGATATTTTTTTTACCTTGTCAGCAGTGCTGTCAGGATCCAGTGAAAAGTAACCAACTCTTTCAAACTGGAACTTGTCAAAAACTTTTGCTCCCTTGACCGATGTGTCCACTAAGGCATCACGGATCACCTGCAGGGAATTCTGAATGACAAGAAAAAAGGAAATGACCACAAGCCGCATCCCAGTCGATCTAAACGCTTCTGCTTTAGAAAGTCCCAAGCACTCACGGGGTTGATATCGCTCAGGAAGCCGTCGGGCACTTCAGATGGATCCTCTGGATGTTTGTGCAAGAAGCTGCAAAGCAAGTGATTCGTCTCGTTTAGATTTGAAACAGACGGTTAGCTGTGAACGAGCCTCGGTGCTTTTCACTTACAGTCTTTCATAGAGACGCACTTCACACACCAGCGGCTGGCTGACCCAGTGGATGAAAGCCTTTGGCTTGTCTGCAGACTCGGAGCTGCAACAGGTCACCTCCAGTTCCACCACGTTACCCCGACAGTCCTGACAACCAGAGCGGGGGGAAGCAGGAAATGGAATGTGTGAATCGGGTGCGAGTCCTTTAAAATACCGTCATATTTTGAATAAATTTAAAAAAGTGAAAACGGGAGTTTTAACAAACAAAAGTCTGGCACAAATTTATAATTTATTTATAGGGGCCAAGACAGGGTAGAGGTAGGGCAGCCGAGCGGGGACCCAAAAGTCCCAGGTTCGATCCCCAGCCATTCCCACATGTCGTGATGTCTCTGAGCAAGACACCTAATCCTCAACTGTTCCCCGGGCGCCTACATAGCTGCCCGCTGCTCCACCTGGGTGCGTCTCAGGTGTGATGGATTAAATGCAGAGAACTAATTTCATCATTGTATAGAAACATACAACGATGACAACACATAGCACTTATTATATATAATTTTAGAAAAGTAATTTCATCTTTGTCATTAGAAGATATTTGAGTGAAAGGACTTTGAATCTTACCTTGATGACCTTCTGAACAGCGATGACATACCCAGCATGCCTCAGGCCAACAGGCTGTTCTGGAGTCAGTCGCTTGTAGCCCTTCTCCATCACCTGAGAAGAGGGGGCAGGTCATGATTCAGTTTGTTTTCCTGTCCACAAATATGTTTGTGTGTCCTGTTGTTTTTATCTCTAACCTCTCTGAAGTCGCTCTGTTCAATGAAGATCGTGTTCGTCAACGGAACTGTGTGGGTGCCCTTCGCCTCGTCGGCAGGGAAGTTTGGTACCCGAACATCAGTCTATGATTGGAAGACAACAGAAGGATGAGTTGGAGCGAGTTGGAGCGAGTGCGCGCGACGCAAAGAGAAAACAAAGGAATGAGTGTGGCGTGTGTGCAAACCTTGGCGTTCTGAGGAAGGTTAGTTATGGTGACTTTGAGCGGCTCCAGCACCGCCATGACTCGAGGAGCAGAGTCGTTCAGCACGTCCCTCACACACGACTCCAGCAGGTGGGGCTCGGTCGTTGTCTGGGAAACAGTGACACCCACCTGCAAGAGGGGCGATGCATCGTCATGCAACTGGGTCGTCACATTTCAGTACATTATTCTGTTCACTCTGCATACCCGAGCACAGAAGTTATTGATCGCCTCTGCAGGGAAACCTCTTCTCCTTAGAGCAGTCAGTGTGAAGAGTCTGGGATCATCCCAGTCTCTGCAAACAGAAACATCCATTACAGACATAAAAATCTGTGTGGATATATCAAAACGTGTAAAACATACAAGTGCTCATGGTAAAAATGGAGACTCAAACAAGAGTACCACATATGGCACATTATATCTCTCCAATCTAAATATAAACAAATTTAACTAAACTATAGTAGTAGGTGAGAAAATTTAACAATGAAAATCACACGATTCAATGGAAGACTCGATCTGAATTTTTCAGATTTAAAACCTGCCCAATCCTTTTTATGGTGATGCAGGAGCAGTGATTTAAACACTGGAGTTGCTTCTGACTACAGTAGTCCCTCGTTTATCATGGGGGCTCCTTTGTGCAAGGAGGAACAGGAGGTCCACTGCCAGGGCCCTAAAAAATGACCTCCAGCAGGCCACTAATGTGCATGTTTCCACTCAAACTGTCAGAAACAGACTCCATGAGGGTGGTATGAGGGCCCGACGTCCACATATAGGGCCTGTGCTTACAGCCCAACACCGTGCAGGATGATTGGCGTTTGCTAGGGAACACCAAAATTGGCAGATTCGCCATTGGCACCTTGTGCTCAGATGAAATTGGGTTCATATTGAGCACATGTGACAGACGTGACAGAGTCTGGAGACATCGTGGAGAACACTATGCTGCCTGCAACAACCTCCAGCATGACCGGTTTGGTGGTGGGTCAGTCACGGTGTGGGGAGACATTTCTTTGGATGGCCGCACAGCCCTCCATGTGCTAGCCAGAGGTGCCCTGACTGCCATAAAGTACCAGGATGAGATCTTCAGCCCCACTGTGAGACCATATGCTGGTGCAGTGGGCCCTGGGTTCCTTCTTATGCATGACAATGCTAGGCCTCATGTGGCCTAAGTGTGTCAGCAGTTCCTGCATGATGAGGGCATTAAATGAACCGGCCTGCCCATTCCCCAGACCTGAATCCAACCGAGCACATCTGGGACATCGTGTTTCGGTCAATCCACCAAGGCCACATCGCACCACAGACTGTTCAGGAGCTAACTGATGCTCTAATCCAGGGCTGGGAAGAGATCCCTCAGGAGAACATCTGCCATCTCATCAGGAGCATGCCCAGGTGTTGTTGGGAGGTTATACAGGCACGTGGAGGCCACACACACACTGAGCCTCATTTAGACTTGTCTTGAATATTCACTGATGTTGAATCAGCGTGTCATGTTATTTTCCACTTTCACATCGAGTATGAATCCAAATCTACATCTCCATGGTGTAATAATTTTGATTTAATTGATAATTTTTGTGTTATTTTCTTCTCAATCAATTCCACTGTGCTAATAATAAAGTTTGTCGATGAGAATATCTGGCTCAGCTGCTCTCAGCCACCTGCATGTGTTCTTGGCCACGCCCACTTTTTAACTCTGCACTGGGAACAGCTGATCAGCTGCAGGAGGAAGCTTATCCTGTGGGCTGCACAGAGGTACAGCTGGTGCTAAATAATTTAAAATAATTTATTTTAAATAAAAATTCCATGCTGATCATGCCGCTCATCCATCAATCAGTGTATCATGTCCAATCTTGGTTTGAAAAACCGCGATAGAGCGAGTCCACGAAAAACGAACCACGAAGTAGCGAGGGCCTACTGCAATGGCAAACTATTGCACATTATAAATTTGGGGTAAATTGTAGGATGACAATGTGAAGTAATGTTTAGATACTTATCACAGATTTGATTCTTTACCTGACAACATTGGTCTCAACCAGTTTGATGATCTTCCTCTTGGACACAACAGTGTAGGTGAGGTTCAAGCGTCCGTATTCCCACTGAACTGGGCAGTACAAATCCAGAGCATTGCACAGCCAGTAATAAGATGAACGTCTGAAGAAGAATGAAAAAAACATCATCGTGCATCTTGTTTCAAACACATGTTCAAATGCAGTTTATACACGGATCACGTAATGCATTTATACCTGGCTTGAAACTCTTTAGTGCACAGTGAGTGAGTGATGTTTTCAATAGAGTCACACAGACAGTGGGTGTAGTCGTAAGTGGGGTAGATGCACCTTAAAATAAAAAAGGAAAATGTTATTTTGCAGTCAGAATTACATTTTTTTTTTTGATAAAGGTAAATGATAAAAAGTACAACAGCTCCGATTTTCCCACCATTCATCTCCTGTTCGATGATGAGGCGTGTACTTGATTCGATACGCCACAGGGTCCATCTTCCCATCTTCCATGACCATCTTCATCCTTAGCGTGACCTCTCCCTCGGCAAACATGCCCTTCCTCATCCTCTCGAACAACACCAGCGACTCTTCGACGGGCCGGTCTCTCCAGGGAGACAGAGGAACGTTATAGCCTTTCAGCTCCTCGCCCTTCTGATGGCACACGTACGCATGACCCCTGAGAGAAGACAAACAAGTTCGCCATCAGAAATCAATACGCGTTTCAATGCAAACCCATGCTGTGCATCGTGCGGCGCCACGCACCTGCGGATAAGATCCACAGCGAGGTCGTAGAGTTTCTGAAAGTGGTCCGACGCATGTGTGACGGCGTAAGGTTCGTAGCCTGAGGGAGAATAGCAGCACTGATAAGGAGCAGGATTCATGAAGGCAGCATGGCAACACCACGATCAGATAAAAGTCAGTTACGCTCACCCAGCCACTCCACCATGTCTTTGATGGCAGTGAAGTACTTTTCTTCCTCCTTCTCTGGATTGGTGTCATCATACCTCAAGAAACAGATTCCGTTGTTTGCCTACAGGAAGGATCAAGAACAAGAAGAAGGTAAACAACTTTACAATAGGAAAATACCAATATATATATATACCAGTACCTTTGCATAACCAAAATTGAAGTTAATGGCTTTGGCATGTCCAATGTGAAGGATACCGTTGGGCTCAGGTGGAAAACGAGTGCGGATCTAAAGGAGGTAAAATGAAAAAATAAAAATGAATAACGGAGAAAATATCCAAGCAAGACTTGGTTTAAACACTTCTAAAAGTTTGTACCTGTTCACCAGTGAACTCCAAGTGCTTCTTAAGCAGGTCCATTGTGTTTGGTGTGACAACGTAACCCTCCGTTTTATAATTTTCTCCTGCATCAGAAACAGAAACAAAGATGAAAGAGCAGAACGAGAGTCAAGATGTTTATACACAAATTTTACAACCAGCGCTGAAGAATGGCTGTGTGTCTCAAAACATCCAAATCAAGGTTCTTTATCGTCACATGCGCCACATGTGGCACATGAGGCGGAACAAAATTGTGTACTCAAGGTCCCAGTTACATCCAAAAATAGCAAAAATATAAATTGTAAAAGAAACTGTAATAAGATCTAAGATATAAACTAAAGAAATACGCCAAACACTAGAAGTGCAAAACAATACGCCGAACAACAGCAGCACGAACATGAGTCTGTGTGAGCAGATGAGTACAAATGAACACAGCAGCATGAAATAATCAGCAGCATGAGATCAGCAGCACATATCACCATCAAAGTGGCATTACAGTGATTTTTTTTCCTGATTAGGGATTTATGAGTCCAACAGCTTCAGGGTAGAAGGTGTTCCTCAGTCTACAGTGGTTCTGCACAATCATCCCGTGTGGAAAAAATGAACAAAACAAGTACAATACCCCCCCCACACACACACAGAAACAACACAACTGCAAGCTATGATGAGCATCCATGTCTGCGTATGAAGATACATCTTCAATCAAAACTAATGTTGAAAATAAAAAAATGTTCAAAGTTTCTTGTCATTCACATCACATGTGGTACATGAGGTGGAACAAAATTGTGAACTCAAGGTCCCAGTTACATCCAAAAATAGCAAAAACATACAGTATAAAAAGAAGCAGTACACAAGTATCTAAGACATACACTAAACACTAATGATGTAAAATAATATGGTCTATTAAACAGCAGCAGCAAAAAACCAACTAAAACAACTTGTTCATTCAGTTTTTAATCCTAGATTTACTCCAGTTAGGCGAGTTTAATATGCCCAGGCTTTAAAACCACCTTGGTTTTATTTAAACACGCCAAACAGCCTGTTCTGCAATTGTTGTACATTGAACCTGGATGCATGAGAACACATTAACCTCATCAGTTCATGCGCTACACTGAACACGCTGTCGGAGAGACCGTTCCCTCAAACAGATCTGATGTTGATTAAAGAAAATAAACATAAAAAGCACAAACGGGGTTATGCACAACATAAACAAGACAGTCGTTCAATAAAGCGTCTGACATTCCTGTCTTGGCTTGCTTGACCCGTCTAAAAGTCACTTGATGTTTGGTCGTTTGTTTCGTCCCACCTGGTTTATGGAACTTCAGCGCCTCTCCTCTGAGCTGCTCCATAAGAGACTTCCCCTCCCCAGAAATCACTTCACCTTAAATGACAAAGTTTCACAGATACATCGAAATGCTGCAAAAGTTGAATAAAGTTAGTCGGGTTTATCTTCTGCTCACCATTCGCTGCCACTTCCTCTTTCTTTACCTTTACATCATTTTCTGAAACTTTTAGTTTCTGTGGCTGCAGTAAATACAAAAGGAACAGTTAAAACACTGAAACTGTGAGTTACACCGCAGCTTAATCCTAAACTCTCCATAACTTGAACTGACCTAAAAGTACCTTTAAGTAAAACACTCAATACATAGGTTTACACACACACACACACACACACACACACACACACACACACACACACA